CATATCATATTGACAAGTATCAAATTGAAATTAGAAGTTAAAAAATTACATATTTACCAACCCACCAAGTTTAGAACAAAAGAAAAGAGATGTAAGCCCTCTCTCAAATATTCAATTCCCTATAGAACTTTAAAAAATTCAGAATTCAAACAAAAAAACAAAAAAAAAAAAAAAAAAGTGTACAAGTGGAATCAGCAAAAACATAAGCAAAAAAAAGATTTGAAAAATGCCAGAAAAGCTAGATTGGGGGGAAAATGCAAGTGAATTTACAAACATCAACATAAATATACTCCAAGTCGTTGTTTTAACCATGAGATTTTACAGATCTTGAGTGAACTTAGCGAATCCAAGTCAGAAAACACTTACCTTGAGCCCTAGATCGATTTAGATCAGAGGGATTCGAACAATCTCGAAGATATACGCTCAAGAAAAGATGGAGAACAAGCTTTTCTACCTCAAGTAACTTCGCATCTCCACCAAGGAAGACAGAAATTTACAGATCATACATAACTCATCAACTTGGTAAACTGCACCCAAAAAAACATGGAAAAAGGCATTTAGCATCGCTTGGTATTTCCTAAAAGCATTTTTGATGATGCAAAGTGATATGCCCTCAATATAGTACTATACAATCCATATTTAAACAAACATAGAAAACAGATAAATAAAATGGCAATTCTACAAGCATGTTTGGAAGCATGAAGACAAGTGCATTTTGACACAAATGGGTACCCACACATCCACATATATGCAATGATATCAACCAAATTACCATAGACAATATATTGAATTACACATTATACATTGACATAATATTGCGTTTTTTCCTTGCTTCCAAATGGGGCTTGTTGCCCATGTATGCCCTATATAGGCATTACAAGATAAAGAGAACGGCTAGCATGCTTCACTAGGTCATACAATTGGATCCTTCTAGCATTGCACATGTTAAGCCTCAATCATATTAGCCCATTGTTTATAGTTTCACAACCTAAATGAGAATTTTCTCCTTAATTCTAAATTCTATTAGGCAGATTTCCCGGAAAAGAAAAGAAAAAGTAGTTGCTATACTCATGTTATTTACAATTGAAATAAACGTTAATATCCTTCAAGATAATTTAATATGAGTTGCGCTCACCTTCACTCCAAGTTTGTTGCAAATATTTTCAGCAAGTAGAAGGGAATATGCGGAATGTTTGTCTGCCCTGGATGGATCTGAAGAAAGAATAATTACTGATAAGCTAGTTTAAGTGAATACAAATATTATGTTCCATTACCTCCAAACAGCCATTCTCTATCAGATATTACAGCGATTGACAAGGGAATATCTTCATTCTTCAAAGATTTTTGAATATTACTAATGGTTTCCTTTAAGACATCATAGTCCATGGGGTTCCCAATCTGTGAATATAAAAAATCATGACGGATTTGAAGGAATGTAAAGAAGGTATTCCAAACTTATATTAAATAGTAATAATAATAATCATAATAAAGAGAAGATGAAGACGAAGACGAAGAAGAAGAAGAAAGAAAGAAAGAACGAAGATGAATAGTTCTAACCATATTGATGAAACAGTACCTTATGGGAAACCCGGACATTCTTGAGCTTGCCTTGACCAGCAAGGCTGCTTGCCCTGTTTCTGTCATCCATTGGCACATCTGACAATATTTCCTGCACATACATGGATCTTAAAAAATAAAATTTCAAGCAACATATTTAAAATCTAAGAACTTAATGTACGATCTAAGACATTAATATATCTTGTGTCTGATTTCAAAAGAGGTGAAAGCAAACCAATACAACAACAACAACAACAACAAAGAAGAAGAAGAAGAAGAAGAAGAAGAAGAAGAATAAGAAGAATGAATGAATGATGATGTCATTCTATTGATGGCTGATGCAGATCCACATGTATCAAAAAACAAAAAAATGAGAACTCGGTATTCGGCCCAATGGACCAACTAATCTTATGAGATGTTTTATGCTATGATGCCTTAAAGGAAACCAAATTTATAAAAGTTTCCCCCTAATTTTAAAGCAACGAAATAAAATCTTATTATTGTATATGACCTCAAACAAAATAGCAGATATGATGAAGTTTCTTAAAGAACATTAGAACATACCAATACACTACCAGGTCCAAGATAATTATCATATTCTTCAATCATTTCTGCAACATTAGGGCGCCATCCAAGCAGTAGTATACATTCTTTTGGTCCTAGACTCCAATCTGATGCCTACAAACAAAACTCAACGTAAATATACTCCAAATCGTTGTTTTAACCATGAACTTAGCGAATCCAAGTCAGAAAACACTTACCTTGAGCCCTAGATCGATTTAGATCAGAGGCATTCAAACAATCTCGAAGATATACGCTCAAGAAAAGACGGAGAACAAGCTTTTCTACCTCAAGTAACTTCGCATCTCCACCAAGGAAGACAGAAATTTACAGATCATACATAACAATCGATTATACATAAGAAAAAATAATAATAATAATAAACCTTTTTCCCAACCCGATCTACCATGAAATTTATAGATTTATAAAAGCATAAACCTTTTCTCATACCTGATCTACCACGTATCTAATTTCAACCAGATCTAGCAAAAAATAGAACTAAAAAAGAGAAAGAAAAAAAATTATGAAATTAGAGATCTAGAGAACAGATTTGATACCTTAAGGGCCTGAGGAGCAACATCCCAACCCAAACGCAGTCTCTTTCTGGGACGACGATCCATGTCCACATGTGGAAACTCGATCACACGTTCTATCTCCATGATCGAACACTGATAGATCCAAACAGAGTTTAGAGAGAGAGAGATTTGCAGAGAGATCGAAAAGAGAAGAAGAGAATCAAAGAATGATAATGATCTGATCTGAGATGAATAACAGATCGAGATCAAGTTCGAGTTCGATGAAGAACAGCTAGAGCAAAGCCCTAGAGCGATAGAGATCGATGTTTGACTGAGGAATGTAGATCGATGTTCGATTACGATAGAGAGGAGCGGTGTGTGAGAGACTGAGAGGGAGTGATGTCTGTGAGAGTGAGATATGAGTGTAAGACTGAGAAAGACGGACCATGACGGAGATACGAGTGTGAGAGAGTGAGATCTGTTAATTGACTTTTCTTTTTTCTTTTTTTTTTTAAATGTAAAATACACAAAACACTAAAAAATGGCATTTTTTTTAAAACGATGTTGTATAAACGTTGTTGTATGCCAATTTTCTTGTAGTGTGTGTTAAAGATATAAATTAGTAAAATGTAAAATGATATTCCAATGCATATTTTTATGAACAATATACAATCGTTTCAAACTTTTAAATCCAATAACAAATGAAAAGATGTACATTAGAAATAATTCACAAGTGCAATGCAATTGATGGATTGGTAGTTAAAGCTGCTAGACACGTTGGACTTTTTAAAATAGAGTACTGGCAAGATTTATGAAGCATTATAGCAGATAGTTACATATCCACAAACACAATGGGAAACATATATAGTTGTGGCCTTTTGAGTCTTGACAAATATTCATTGCTTCTCTTACTTTTTTCTTGTTTCTTTTTCATTGTCTTTATTGTTGATCTCAATGAACTAAATCTTAAAATTTTCATACAGCATTTATTGAAGAAATCCACATAAAAAGTCAAAAAAAGCAAAACAAAATGAAACCATGTATGGTGTTGTTTCTTCACACCTTCGTTTCTATGAGGGAAAATAAAAAAACAGAAGCAACAATTCCCTCATGCCCTTGATTTTCCAACTATTGGGGGAATATTGTGTGTTTTTTCATATCATCATCACACATCAAGAGCACAACAAACTCTCTTCCTCTCACCCATGTTTGGCAATTCTTCTGTCTCCATATCGGTTATAAGGGTCTTGCATCTTTTGCACATCCATGGCACCAAAAACCCCAGCACTACTTTCATCATAAGGAGAACCACCACCATTTTCATCATCACTAGCCTGGTCTTTTGCCATTAAGCCTTGCTCATATCTGATACTTTCAATTCTCAGTTGCATTTTCTCGCTTCTCGGATCATACCCTTTCAAAAGTCCAACCACTTCTTTCATGTTAGGCCTCTTCTCAGCCTCACTTTGCACACATAGCGCAGCCACATGGATCCCTTGTTTCAGTTAGTTTTCATCAAAATTTCCTCGAAGCTTCGGATCAACAAGTTCTTTAAACCTCCCTTTAAGTATCAGAGGCTCGGCTCATTTGGTTATTGTCCTCTTAACACCACCAGTGAGCTTTTCTATGGGCTTCCTTCCTATGAGAATCTCCAATTGAAGAATTCCAAAACTATAAACATCACAACTCTTTGAAACCTTTCCCCACATAGCATATTCTGGTGCTAGATATCCTAAGGTGCCTTTAACACGGGTAGTCATGTGGTTAACACCCTCTGGAATTAGCTTTGCAAACCCAAAATCTGTAACAAGTGGTTCAAAATTTGAATCCAAGAGCACATTACTAGCCTTTATGTCTCTGTGAATGATGTGAGGTGTCACTTCATGGTGCAAGTACCTAACATATCAGATCAGATAGAAACATTATGTTAAATTTTAAAAATATTTCAAATTTCTACAGCTGCTTGCACACCGTGATAAAAACAAATATTTGGCACTAGTTAATAAGCTAAAAAAAGGATTATGTCATATGGCATGCTCATTTCTAGCTAAAAAGCCTACTTTAGCCACTCTAAATAGCTAATAGAAAAGCTAAAAAAATTATGAATATACCAAACAAACTAACTAATTTTTTCTAGCATTAACTTTTTTATTAGTTCATTTTTAACACATTCCCAAAGAAAGAATCATATATGTATGTATTATTTATTATTTATTTTCATTTCAATTTACAGTTGTTAAGATCTTGAAAAAGCTTCGTGTAAACCATGGGCTCAGGGGGGAAAAACAAATCAATTGTATTTTAACAAAATGCCACGAACTATTTTAAGTTATTTGCAAACTATATTTTATATATATATATATATATATATATATATGTAGTAGACCTGTCTAAAATTAACCGAAAATAAAATTATCGTGCATGTGACTTTTATTACCAGAGAAAAAAAGTTTATTATTCTTCTTCTTATGATTGTGTATCCAAAATATTTATGATTGTTGTTTGTTTATGAACATTAATTATTATAGGAGGAAATGGGCTTACAGAAGGCCTTGTGCAGAGCCAATAATAATATTCATTCTTCTTTTCCAATCTAAGTGGACTTGGCCAGCAAATTGGCCATGGAGATGAGAAAGCAGGCTGAGATTTGGCATGTAATCATACACAATGAGGCGTTGTTCAGCACCACCTGCACAACAACCCCTCAGCCCCAACAGGTTCTTGTGCCTTACCCTTCCTAGAACTTCAACTTCCACTTCAAATTCCATCTCTGCTTTTGAATTCATTGATTTCAACTTCTTTACTGCTATCTGCATCATGTTCATAATAAAACAAAAACAACCAATCAATAATGATCAATAAAAGAAAATTTTATTGGCCAGGTGCGAGTTCTATTAGGTAAAATCAATGGCCAAATGATCAAGAAAATGTCTAGGAATACATAAATCGATCACAAAACACAACTCTTTCACATGAAGTGGGTCCCACCTTTTTTGGGTCCCATATCTACATGCATGAAGGAAAATTATTAGGTAGTTCAGGAGTATCATGGAGTGTTGTGTACATGGTGCTCTTGACAAATGCGAAACCACACCCTATACTTACTAAGTGAGTCATCTTTTGTCTTCCAAGTTTCAACTATCTGAAAACGGTGAGTCACCATGTCCTACCTATAAGATTTCATGCTATGTCATTGATTTCGACCACCACGAGGGCAATACACCATATGGTACTTTGAGAGTATCTAATAATTACACCTATGTTGGAGGATTGTATCCAATTTTGTGATTGGTTTTTGTGCAAGTAAAAGAACATAATGAGGAATGCATGGATGAATAAATATGGAAACAGGATATGCAGATGAGATGAGCAGAGTAGAGAGAGAACTAACCTGAAGGCCATCCGAAGTTCTACCCCAGTAGACACTTCCAAAACCTCCTTCACCAAGTTTATTATCTTCACTAAATCCATTGGTAGCTACTTGCAACTCCTTGTATGTAAATATCCTCCATATACTACTACTGTTTCCTCCTGCACCAATTACCATCCTATACACCAAAGATTTCCTCTTAAATTTTTAGCATGATTTAGATACAGAGATAAACATAATTAAACTCAAAAATAAATATGCAGAAACAAGCAGTAGTTTTAGTAGTCATCAATGTAACAACCCTCACTCTACCCTAGTCATGCTTGCATATATTACATGATCTTGTCTTGATATGTTGCATCTTTGCAAACCTTGATTTGTTTTGCTTAAGTGTTTCTTGCATGTTTTGTACCTTGCTTGGTGTGAGTTTAGCCGAGGTCATCTTTAGTCTAGAATTACCTTGGAACCACTTTGTTTGACCTCCACCTTCGCCCTAACATATTGGCCGAGATGTCATTATCTAGGCCGAGATGTTACCTTTGCACCTAAGTGATCTTGTGGTATGACCTAGACCAAGGTGTGGCACATCTAGGCCAAGGTGTGGCACAGCTTAGTCAAATGTTGTCCTTCCTAGCCGAGGTCATTGCCACCTTAGTTGCCGAAGCTTTGTCCTTAGCCGATGTCATCACTTGCTGGAGTGCCTTGCTTGGTAGCTTGTTAGATACGCTTTGTCTTACACATGTCTTGTCAATCTATCACCTTTTTGAGAAAAACCAATCAGCCGATGCCACGTGTCCCAGCAGAGGGTTAAGTCCGTGACTGTCGAGTAAACACATTATTTTTGTATCACATCTTTGTTTTTTAGAGAGAGAGACTCTAGGAAGAAGAATGTTCTTGAGGGAGGGAGTAGACTTCCAAGCTTGATCTTTGGAGTTTGAACCGGTAGATTCGAGTTTTAAGGTTAGAATCTTAAACTACTCTTGTTGTTCTTATTGATCATCTAGCTGCATTGCACGATCGAACCTGCTCTGCACGCCATGCATTGATTTAAAGTTGGTTTTAGAAAGAGAAAATAGTGTTCATGTGTTCTTGAAGAAAAAGTCTTGTTTGATCCGAAAGTTTGCATTAAGATTCATGTTTTTGTGTTTGTTCTCACAAGATCCTTGAATATGGGTATCCAGGTCCATGTTTTTGAATTCATAGCATGAAATCTCAGATTTTGTAATGATAAGTTATGATCTTTGCATTCATGTTCTTCATGTTCTTCAAAGAAAGGGAAACCCAGATTTTCCCAACTTCGTTTCCTTGAATGTGGCCATCGGGACCACACCTCGGCAA